TATAATGATGGCTTTTGTAGAGGGACGGTGAAATTTTTTAGTAGAAAATGTTGATATTTTTAAAAAAAAAAATTTGTATAGATATGCTGAGTTTGGGTATTTATTGTTTCTAAATGTCCTTTGATGGGCAGCAATAGAATTATGTTAGAAGAGTTTGGATATATTTATTATATTGTTTCATCCTCTTTTCCACCATTTGTGAAAGTGTATTATCTTTTGATGCTAAAACTGCACATATGCCTCGAGCCACTGATGATTGGGGTCACAGAGTTGCAGAAATGCTCTCTTCAATAGTTAAGGGGTCTGGTTCGGCTCATCTATTGTAGATTTTTACCCTTGTACATATAGTGGGTCGAGGTCAAAATCTATCGTGTAGGCCATACTCCAGGATAGATGGGAAAAGATTTGACGTTCATCTCGATACGACAGTGTACCATGTGACATTTTACAACATTTTCTTTATTGCCTTTGATCTCTCAGTTCTCTCCTACCCCGTAGGGGGTTGAAAACTTAAGTAATGATACATCAAAACAGCCATCTTAAAGACAAAGAGCAGAGGTTGCCATGATGGCATCATATGGTGAAGTAACATTTATTAATATGAATTCAGAAATGACCTTTGTTTTTTTAAGAAGATTCTCCTATTTCCGCAATGAGTTTTATTTTCCCCTTAGACATTGTAAGGGCCCCAAAAGTGGAATTGAGTAGGGAGGTAGGAAATGTAAAGAGAGTCCCATCCAATTGAGAGTGTTGATGTATAGTATGTTGAGGAAAATTCCTTTATCGACTAAGGTCATTTGTATGCTTACTCTAGGTAAGGTGATTACCAAGACGCCAGGATATGGGTGAGGATCAGCCTCAACCACATCGAAGGATAAGTGGTCTCAAATTATAAGCATCATATCTATCCACATAAAGAACACTAAATGATATAAATATGACAAGTTTGATATGTTGGGCTTGACCGTCCAATAATATTTACTAGGCATCTACATGCTTCACAATCAAATATTATCATTCGAGGTTTCAGAATGTCATTAGCCTGAGGTCAAATGTCGTGTTCTATAAACTTATAACTATGAAATCGTCAAGTTATGGGTCCAATCATATCATCTATAACCCTAATTCTAAGATACATTCAGGTGAATTAGCAAGTGACAAATTTACAAAGTAAGATTCCTTAAGTTGATTAATGCACAAGGTTCTTTAGGCTCAATCCAACCTACTAATCACACCTCACGAAATGAGAACACAAGCATTCACATTTTTCCATACCACTCCAAATTCATAAGACTCAAACATTGAGCCCTTCTTGAAACCTTCATATATAGCAGCCTGAAAGCAAAAGAAAAAAATATATTTCAATTAAAAAGGCGGTTCAATGAACTCGATGATATAATAAAGAAAATATTTACTTAATTTTCTTTTTCTATGCCATCTAGTCCTAGATGTTATTAAAGGTATCGGCGGGCTTGACATTTTTAACGTCTTAAAATTCCTTCTTTTTGTTTTGTAGGAGCCATGAATATTCTTATGATTGAGTATTTTATCCTCAGATGATTCCCAACCTTATTGCCATTGAAATAGAGAAATTACATATAATTAAATAAATGAAAAATAATGAAAGCTTATAGAATTAATTACTGAATATTGTGCCTTTGTACTGCTACTTTTGATTGAATGATACCATAATTTATACCATGAAGAAACTGGAAAATGGTAAAGAACATACCCAGAGGTGAGATTTTGCTTGATAGACACTGGAGAAACTTCCATTTCTTCTCATATTTCCCTTTTGCACCCTTGCACTCTCATCAACTTCTCCGTCTCCCGAAATGGCCAGATCGTTTCTTGATTAGGTTTATCTTATGATCATTAACTTACGGCCAGATCATATGACCACATCATATCTTATAATTATTACTCAACTTCTTGGACTGTTACTTGATTTGGTTTGTCTCTCTTGGTACCTTGGACCGGCTTCTTGATTAGCTTCATCCTTTAAGTGGTGATATTTGTGCTGATTTATTGTGAATCGTTTTTGCACTTGAATTTTGTAACATAATACACCTGTGGTTCAGCAGAAGGGTAAAACTCCAATATATCCAATAACCCTGGGCAGCCTTTTGGATTCCATCTGCTGGTCAATATTTGAGCCCAACTTCCTCTACTCCCATTATTCAAAAACTTAATTTGCAATCGTCCACACTAGAAGCCAGCATTGTACAATCTTTGGATTTCCGACTGTATGAATACTTACCTTAATGTAAGTTTAGCACCAAATATATCATCAACTAATTAAAATATTAATAAATAATCTCATTATTTAAGCATTTATATTCAGATCAATGATTGCCCTACCTCTATTAAATTTCACAATCCACCACTAGTTATAATGGACAAAGAGTGGCTGTACTTATCGAGGTTATCATCTGAAATTAATCTTTATGTATCTAGTTATAACATATTAAAAAATTAACTTATAATGATCACAAAGTTTAATTTATAGATTTTCAGAACAATATAGAGGTGGAGTACATAATGTTGTTGAACGAGCTCATGAAAATTGCAATTCAGAAATGATAGCATGTTCTTGTGTTAAGTGTAGAAATTTAATGCATCATCATTATGATACAGTCTATGAACATTTGGTTATTAAAGGTATGGATCCTATATATACTGTTTGGGCATTTCATGGAGAGAAACCATTGAATCAAATTTGGTCGACATAGAAATGTCTGAGTCGAGTAGGATGTTTAATTATTTTTTTGCACATCATGATGTAGATCTTGAAAATCGTCCTGATGAAAGTGACAAAGAGACTGAAAGTTTAGTTGATGATGCCGAAACTCCTTTATATCCTAGTTGAGGTCATTTACAAAGATGTGAGCTTCAGTTGCTATGTTTAAGCATAAACCTTCACATGGTTTATCAAACAACGGTTTCGATGAACTTATAAATCTTGTTCGAAACATGCTGCCAGAGAATAATACACTTCAAAACTCATTCTATGAGATGAAAAAAACTTGTCAATACATTTGATCTTGGCTATGAAAAGATACATGATTGCTTAAATGACTGTTGTCTATATAGAAAAGAGCTCGAATAAGCTGAATTATGTCCAAAATGTGGTTGCTCAATAATAAAAATTAACAACGGACTAAACAAATTCAGAAAAACATCTCAGCAGAAGTCTTGCGTTATTTTCCTATAATACCAAGACTTAAGAGGATGTTTGGAATATATGAGATTTCAACAAAACTTACATGGCACTCAAGTAATAAAAGTTTAGACAGTGAGATTAGGTATCTGGTTGATTCATTGAGTTCGAAAATGATTAACAAAAGGTGGCCACATTTTACATCTAATCCTCGAAATATTATATTAGGTCTTGTTATTGATGGATTTAATTCTTTCAAAAATCTTAGCTCTAAATATAGTTGTTAGCCAGTAATCTTAACTATATATAACTTGTCTCCATCAATTTGCATGTCAAAGGAAAGTTTGATATTGAGTCTATTGATCCCGGGACCGAAATAGCCAGGTAATGGCGTAGATGTTTATTTGGCACAATTTGTAGACGACTTAATGTTGTTATGGAGTGAAGAGGTAGATATATATGAAGCAATTACAAAGTCTAGATTCAACTTAAAAGCTACTTTGATATAGACAGTACATGAATTTCCTGCATATGGAAATATATCTGGATGGCCATTCAAAGGAAAAGTTGCATGCCCTATCTGTCGTGAAAATACATGTTTAGTATGGTTGAAGCATGGTAGGAAGTTTTCTTACATGGGACATAGAAGATTTCTCACTTTTGATCATCCGTTTTGCATGAAAATGAACTGGTTTAATGGATATGTTGAACATGGTATTAGGTCTAAGATGAAAATAAATAAATAAATGATGAAGAGGATTCTATTGAAGTTGATAAAATTACAAATGATTGCGAAAAAAGTGGAGAAACGAAAGAGGAAGAAGAATATAGGTCAATCTAATGTCATGTGGAAGAAAAAGTCAATATTTTTCAATCTACCATATTGGAAGGTGATTGTTGTAATATTTCCTTTATTTTTATTTAATACTTCTAATTGTGTGTAACTTTTCATAACTCCATTGATGTTTGATTTGCAGACTTGTACATCATAATTTGGATGTAATGCATATGGATGAACTCAAGAGTGTTGAGACGACTGGACAGAAATGAGACTTTATTGCACAAGAAGCACATTGATGTTTTTGCTGCCTGGTTGGATGATAAGGTTGGAATACACATCAAACAATAAATCTCTAGTTGTGCTATTTATTCTTTTCTTTCTAATTTTTTTAAAATTCAGCTATTGACGGACAAAGTATCGAACAATTTGAAGTGGCTTGCACGTGGTCCTAGATGTCAATCCATGTCATATTCTAGTTTTGTCATAAATGGTCTTTGATTTCACACTAAAAATGCAAAAAAATCTCGCGAAAACAATGGCGTTTTAGTTGAAACAACGACCATATGTAGATCTAATGCAAAAGATAATGCACAAATAGTTGGCCAAGTTCTTTATTATTGAGTTTTGCATGATGTTATATTGCTTGATTATAATATGTTTTATATTCCACTATTCAAGTGTGATTGAGTAAATATCATGAACGGAATAAACAAGGAAGATGGATTCACCTTGGTTAACATTAACAAGGGACATAGACAATTTGAAAATGATCCTTTCATCTTGGCAGCACAGGCAAAACAAGTCTTTTATTATAGGAAAAATGAAATATCTAGTTTGTATGTTGCTTTGCAAGCGCTACAAAGAGACTTTGATGCATCACACATGGAAGAAGATACTAATTATAAGGCAATGATTCAACTAGATATATTATTGCCAATTACAGACAACCATGACAATGATGAGAATTATGCAAGAATAGATTTTGAAGGTATATTTTGTGATACGTAAAGTAGTTTGGTAACTCCCATCTACTTTTTAGATAATGTACCTTTTGCATAATAATCAATTTTGTTCTACTATATTTTGACATGGGATTTATCTATATATTCATATTGCGATGAAATGTTGAATACTTTAGATTTGTTAAGATCACTAACTACAATTTATGTTGATGTTGCAGAGTTTTGTTCTAGCTCTAGGAAGTCTACATTCAATGAGAAATATATTTTGTATGATGGAATAGGTTCAGGTAATTGTGTTTTGTTATAATACATGAGATATATGCTAAGTTTTGAAAATAATTGCTTTTATGCATTGTTTTCATTTGTATTCTCAAAGTCAAGTAAGCAAACTTCCAAGAGTTCTAAAAAAAGAAGAGTTGCAATTGCTAATGCAATTCGAGATACTAGTAAGAGACTAAGAAATTCTAGTGAACCAGAAAATACTATAGCCAGTCCAACTAATGATGAGCAAACCACGTTGCCAACAACTGCAAATGCTCCGAAGAAGAAAAAAAGTCCAACACAAGTGAAGATGATTCCTGAGCTTAGGGATGACAATGGGTTGAGCTGAGCCAGCTTGACCCTTTAATTCATGAGATCGGCTTGGGCTCGTGGCTCATGAAAAACAAGCTGAGCCGAGCCCACGAGCCACTTTCGAGCTCGTGATTTTTTTAATTTTTTTTATAAATTTGTACATTTTTTATGAGGCTCGTGGGCTCGTAAGCTTTGGCTCGGGGCTTGGTAAGTCGAACAGGCTCGGCTTATAAGATTGAGCCCCCTGCTAGACTCGAGAAATGAGAGCCCGAGCCTCCACGAGCCTAGCGGTTAAGTCAACAAGCCGCTCGGCTCGTTTGACATCCCTACCTAAACATAATTATCAGAAGATGGATCTTGAATACAATGAATATGGCCAAGTTGTTGGCAAGAACTTAGATAAATTTGCTAGCATAGTTGGGGCCATAGTACAAGAACATGTGCATGTTGTAATTAAAGATTGGCATCCGGTGAATGGAAAGAAAAAAATGGAGCTTTGGACTTTCATATAGGTAATATTTCTTAACTACCTTTTAAAATTATTAAGTTGCATATTTTTCTTTCTTAATGATACGATTCCCTTTATATCTTAAATTTATGTTTGTACACAAATGTAGCAAAGGTTCAGTGTCAGTTATTGTCATCAAAGAATGTCACTTCAATGTATGGGACAGTATTGGAGGACATGCAATTCAAGATTGAGAAAAGAAATTAGAAATCAAGTTGTAAAAGTGGGAATAGAGCACGCACTATTGCCCTTCTTAGACTAAAGAATGTCAACTTTGAAGAAGTCTGGGTAAAATTTGTCAAGGATACTCTTTCTGCTGATTTTCATGTAAGTATATTTGCATATGATGCTTAAATTTCTATAATTATTGTTGTTTAATATTTTTTTTCATAGGAAAAAAGTTTCAAGTTCAGCAACATGAGAACTAATCAAAAGCTACTCGATACTATGGGTTGAAAGGGTTATCCACGTATGGCTTATGAAATGCTACATCTTAGAAACATATCTTTTCTTACATGAATTTTCCAGCTCCAATTTATATAATCACTAAATTTGTACTGCTAAGAAAAAATAATCCAGATTTAAAAGGGTTAAGAACAAGAGTATGGACTCATGGACATTTTGGGAAAGATGGAAAACCAATAAATGAAGCAGTTGTCAAGACTTTGGTATGTGTTTTATATCAATGTTCAATGAAGCATAGTTTGATTTATTGGTTGTATCGCTCGCTATTATGAAATTTGAGTTCGATAAGTGCAAAGAAGGATTGAAGATTGTGCCGTTCAATTTCTAATACACCCGTCGAAGATTCTATTCGCGATGATGCTGTCGCTCGAGTTGTAGGTCCTAAAGGTCATGGAAGAGTTAGGGGACTCGGATTTGGATTTGGACCATCAAAGGTGGATGGACAAATACGAAGTAGTGGGAGAGTTAGAGAATTTGAAAGCCAATTACAAATTCAGGCACAAAGAGTTGGGACACTATAAGAAAAAGTGGAAGCACTTCTCAAATTATCTCAGTAGGTTATAAGGAGTTACCTTTTATACATACTATAATAATATAGTTTCATAAAGCCAATTACATGTAGAATAACTTTTGTAATTTCTGTATCATTTTACAAAATTTAGAGGACGGAAATTCAAATGTTTCTACTCCTCAGGTTTTCGTATCCTATATTATTAAATGTTTATTTAATATATATTCAGTTTGTGGCATTATAATTTTAAAAAGAATATTTTCTGTGTACTATGAATTTGTAGTCACATCAAGAAATGGTGCCCAAGGAAGTACTACACCTATGACAAATGCAAGATGTCAACTATTGTATTAATACACGTTTTAGGAGGAAGAAGTCGTACCAGAATGGAAGATTGCAACAACAGACCCAAGTGAAACTGTGCATTATTTGCCACTTGGTCGAGACTGTTGGAAGGTTTGGGCTGAGGAAGTGTATATGGGTAATTTGACCTTATACAGACTTACGGATTAATTTTGAACCCTTAATGAAGCCATGAGAAGTACTATTGCTTGGCCAAAGAGTAGTATTAGACTTATTTGATTAAAATATGTTTTATGAATTTATTACATATGCGCGTAAATCTATTTCCATTTTCAAGTCGTATGGACTAATTTTTTGACAGATGTATTAGACTACCTTTGTGCGTAGGTTTCAGCCAGATTTTGGATACTCCTTTATGGTTCCATTTGAGTGGGTAATCTTTTTCAAATTTGTGTGGGTTTGCTGTGTGATGTGCAGCTCTTAATCTGAGCCTCGATTAAGCATTAAGTGCCAATTGTTTAAAGCTTTTGATGGGAAAGTTGATTTCCAATTTACTATGATTATGCCCTTTATATATTGCGTGGTCATCTTAGTTTGTGTTTATTAATTGGTTAATAGGCATATTTATCACTACAATTAGTATCGGAGCCCCGTTTTAAGCTACTGTATCGGCTGATTTTTTTGACCTCTGTGCTGGAATTATTATTAGTAAATTAATGTTTGCGTAATTTCATGTTTGTTGATTTGCAATAAGGACTTGTGAGTATGAGTATGTCATAATTTCGTGGCTTTATTGATGGTTGCGTAATTTTCTATTGCTGTTGAACCACTAAAAATTAGTGTGCTTTGCATCTTTCTTATTTTACTTTGTTTATTATTGCTAGGGAGATCAGTGCGGTGCAAGAAGGATTGGTGCAATTGAAGATGACAATATCAAAAGCAATAGAGAAGTGGGCACAACAGCCATTTTAATGTGTTGTGTATAGTATTGAATATTTAATGCTCCTTTTGGAAATCTCTTTGGTGGTATATGTTTTGTCGTCTCATAATTATTTTTGTGGTACATGTTTTGTGGTCTACTATTTATATTTTCATGGTGCATGTATTAATTTTATTTTTGAAAATAGAATATGTTGAACAGTTTACAAGTTTATTATGTAAATTAAAGTTTATTATTTGAATTGTTGGATCAAAACACAGGATTTTCCATAATGTAGTAAGCATGTATAAAAAAATGTGAATTAATTTTAAAAAATATAAAACGATCAACAACAAAATTTGCAAAATGTTGCCAAAACTTAAAGATAAGAGAAGACAACATTTAAAAAACGTTGCAGAAGTGTTAACAGCAATGTCTAATAAACGTCGCAAAAGAGTTAACGGCAATGTTGAAAAATGTTGCAAAAGACCATCTTTTGCAACTTTTTTTAAACGTTGCTATATCTCTTCCCTCAACGGCAACTTCAATTCCCACAATACACGCTAAAAAGCTATAAATGACCTTTTACAGCATTTTTTGACCGTAGCCAAAGCCCTTTTTTGGTGTAGTGTAGGTTACTTTTGGCATGCGAACCGTATAAAAGATTTGGTACAAAATTAAAATAAATAGTATTAGATGGTATCATAGTGAACTTATGTGAATAATATACTACATTAAGGTTGGATGGAAGTTTAGGTCTAATTAAGAACGAGATCTTAAATGACATTAATGGAAATACAAAATTATTTGATTTTGAGATCATAAAAATGGACGATGAAGCCATCTGAGCAATGGGTTGAATGAGACTGCAACTTTGCAGTGGCCAAAGCTGTTGCCCAGAATCGACAGCGTCGTGGTAGTGTTGCTAGCATGCTTGGGTGGTATGGCAGCAGCCTGAGTGCTACTGCCAGTTGGCGGTGGCTGCCTATGGTGGAAAAAGGAGTGTTAGAAAATTGCGAAGATATTACAATCAGATCTCAGAAAATCAACATGGTGAAGACAATGAATTCCCATCTTTGACTGTAAATAGAAAATACACGTGAATAGAGATAAACACAAGAATAAGTTTTGCTTACATACCCCACTTCAAATTTTCACACAGCACACTTAAACGAACTCAATTTCTCATTATTCTATCTCTTAGAACATACCTATTTTCTCATTATTTCCCTCATCTTGTAAAGCTTCTCTGGGGTATTGGACGTGGCCCTCCCTATTTTCTCATTAATTAATCAGGTAAATCAAATTTAAATCCTCACTGTTCTGTCAATTTTTTTGCCCTTTTTTTTTTCATTTTTTTGTTTCGAACCCAATTCAACAAGTTTTGGCTCCTTTAATACCTACTCCTCCTTTGCATTTAATCAATTGTGTGACTTTTTGGAGTCTGTTTGTCTTGATTGATTCCGGATTTAATCCTTTTTCTCTAAAGATTAAATCATTTTTCTTTTTTTCATTTTTCCCTCGTAACTAGGGTTTCCTCTTGAATTAAATACATTTATGTGTCTTGTGGTGCTTATATACCTATATTTGTGCAGTGGAATACTGGTAGAGAAGGGGGCATTCAGAGAGGCGGGATGAATAGTGTGTTCAATGAAGAGATACTTGCAGACAAGCTCTCAAAGCTCATATACAGAAATCGATTTATTGAAAGTATATATATCCCTCAATTATTTATTTTTCTATTTATGATGATTTTGTTCTGGTTTTCACTGAAAATTATAGACACGCTCATGATTTTTTTATTTTTTCATAAGAAAGAAGAAAAAGGTTGTCACATATCAATTTTTTACGGGTTCAGTTGTTGGCTATTCAAGCGAATTAATTAGTTGTTAGAATTTCTGCATGTCTATAGAATGCTATGATATAATTATTAAGATTAAACGAAAAGTGGGGAATTTTTCATCTTAAATATATCCATGGATCTTCCTTGATGTAATTCAGTTTGACGGTTTCTTTAATTAGTTATGATAATAGAATTTTTTTGTTGTGTGTACACAATGGTGTACACACAGGCTTACACCCCACTCATATGGAGGGAGGCCCACATGTAATAAAATATTCGTGGGCCCCCCCTTCATGTGGGGGTGTGTAAAGCTGTGTGTACACCACAGCATTTTCCTTTTCTTTTATACGTTTTTATGATGAGAAGGTTTAAAATGGAAAGTCCTTTTTTTTTTAACTTATTCCGTTTTGGGAGTTTAGCATGGATAAGATTAACTATGAATAACGGTTTCATATACGTTTTTATGATGAGAAGGTTTAAAATGGAAAGTCCTTTTTTTTAAACTTATTCCGTTTTAGGAGTTTAGCATGGATAAGATTAACTACGAATAACGGTTTCATACCTACTATGTTTCACGTGTTCTTTCATGTATAGTGTTAATAATATCTTCAGATCTATTATTTGATTTCTTGAGTTCGGACGCGGAGCATTTCTCTGCTTTAATGTAATGATGGAAAAATAAAAATGATTAATGGTTTATTGCCTACCCAATTCACGTCTTCTTCTGCATTTTGTGTTTTCTTAGGATATACTTTATGTGGTTCCTGCAAGTTATGATTTCTTCCATGCTTGTTCGTTCATAAGTTTCAATCACAATTAGATTTTTCGTTTGTTAAGCATAAGCATTCCTAGATTCAGTATGTTTAGACTTCAACTTGGAACCAGAAAAAGATTTTTCTTTACTAAAACACGATTTTCTCATTGATGAAGATTTTCTAGTACAAGTCTAATAATTCTTCTCCGCTTTTGCTTAATATATTTCTCTGCTTTGTATGTTTCATATGAGATTTTGCTTAATATATTTCTCTACTTTCCCTGCTACATTGTCTATTTTTTCCTTCTTTACGGGTTCTACTACCCTAAGATCATTTCGGTTGAAGATTTATTTTTTACCCACAAATTTAAGACTTCGATTGATCACGACAATTCATTGTTCTTCACAATGTTACTTCATTCTGAAATGAAAAAAGGAAAAATATGAAATAGCACTTGTTACATTATGTTGTGGGAACTATATGTAGAGCATTTTCAGCTGTGGTTAATAATTAGCAAAGTTTCGCTAATATAAAGAAACATTGAAAATCCTATTTGGCAAGATGACTAACTGAAAGTAAGTTTGACCTACTTTAAAGCACAACCAAACATTTTCCGCCTCTTCTTAACTAGTCCTAACTGCATTAGATAAGTATTGCCAATCTTTTTTATCAGGGCTGATCCCGTGATCGTGGGGGCGCGAGGCGAACTCCATAAATTGGGCCCTCAAAATCAACGTAAATTAAAATCCAACTATGTACTATACAACCAATTGCTAACTTAAAACTTAATGTAAAAGACGTTTACAAAACATCTCAATTATGGGAGGATTCTTTTACGTTAATTAGTGGGTTTTACCAAAAGAAAAAAATGGAAAAAAAAATTTTTGGGTCCCCTTGAAAAGCTAGGCCTAAGGTAGCGGCCTGTTGAGCCTATGCTCAGGTCCGACTCTATTTTTGATACATACTTTTACCTTTTCTTTCTTTGTAGCTTTGTCGCAATGGTGCATTTTTCACCGTAGTAAAGCTGAGCAAGTTGTTGCAACATGGGACAAATATACAATTCCATAGTTTGGAGATGGTGAGGAAAGTGCTTCGGTACCTTGCGCATGCATGATATTTTGAAGAACAGTATGGAGAACAAAAATAAATTTGTCTCCAAATTTTGGAAGGTTCTTCCTTCGGCACTCAAGGATGCTGTGAAGCATGGGGATAATCGTGAAAATAAGGCTGTCTCAAGATTGATAAAAAAATTTCCTTGTCTGTTAGGATCTTCCTCAAGCTGCTCAAGATGATTTCCGGGCTCAGTTAACCTTTAAAACACCGAATCAACACCAAAACCGAAGGTACCCGCCGTCGACCTCACGAGTTCTACCTATGGTTGCTTTTCTTCCTTCTGCTTGTTGTTTGCTCACTCACAAAGAATGAATACCACACAGATAAGGGTCACAAAGACACAAGCAAGAGGTAGACAAGATCAAAGAGTAGAATGCACGAAGAAGAAGAAGACACGGTCTCTCTCTCTCTCGGGTTCTTTCACAAAAAGGGGACCAAGGAAGGCTACGAGAATTACCAATATATATAGTAAACCAATGACAAACAATAAGGTAAGTTATACATATGGTAAGTGGGCTCGACTAGGGTTATGTCCCAAAAGCACACCAACAAGCCACAAAGGTTTATTAGCCATCCAATAGGTAAAACAACGTTAAATCGGGTCATCCCATTATTCGGTGTTGATTTATCGTTCAGTCATTCATGTCGATTGATAAAACTGGTTTACATCATCGCCCGAGAGGTCGTTTGACAACATGATGTCTAACATTGTCCTTGTCTTCTATTATTCTCAACAATCATTTATTTCATAGATTGTTTGGAAGAGCATTTATTAAACTTTTCAAATCCGGATTAATACAACATATTTTGTCCCCTGTTAGAATTATAGATTTCAACAACTATAGGTGGGCACCATATCTGTTGGTTGGAGTAGCCTGACTAATATGATAATCTTATTATTAGGTCAATAGATGGGAAGAGAGGATAGTTTTTGGATCCTATGCTCAAAGCCTAAAAGATTTAATGCTTGGAGAAGAATTGCCTCCATCATTGGATTTTGGGAAGAAACATTCTCGTTCTATCATAATAGAGGGGGACTCAAGATCTATCAAAACAATAAGGTTAATTGCACATGTTTGGTGCACAGTATTAGATAATATAGTGAACAAGATAATACTTTCTTTTCTTCTTGAGTACAGTCATGTTCTAATCCTCCCAACCAAACATGTCATTAATGCTATATGCAGTGCTAAGATTTAATCATGTTATATATCTGTCCTTTACTAACATTTTTTGTTCTTACTCTGCACGAATTTGCATTTGAAACCAGAAATTGACCATTGGCACAGAAGAAAAAATTGTGTCAACTTTTAACTTGGCGATCAGTGAACATCCCATTGAAATGAAGAAATGAATGAGTGCAAATCCGTCGTCGAACATGTGAGTAAATTAGGAAAAGACGTCAACATCTCCTGAACAAAAGGTATTCGAAAAAAATTACCATTTCTGT